CCTCAGCGAAGTGAGATACCTGCAGCGGGAAGGGTGGGAGGGCGAGGATGGGTAGGTAGTCAGGCACACAGGCCTCATCCCAAATGGTGTACCTCTCTGCGGGCATACATTGTACTTACACACGCCCATTAGACAGGCAATACACGGCTCACCCATGGTTGTACCAAGGCCAACAGGCTCCAAACTGCCTAGCACAACTTCTCCCACTGATGGACTTAACACCACCCATGCCCCTCCCTAGCTGGTAACATAGTTCATTAGCCCCTTCTCAACTGTGTACAAGTGCCATTGTGGCCACTCTCCAGTATGCAGCCAGGGACTGAAGAGACACTAAATCCTCCCCTATCGTTCCTTCAAGATCCATCAGAGATGCTCTTCCAACTACCAGGCAGCCCAGTCTCAGCCGCAGGCACCATAATGGCCGCTATCCCATATAACCGCCCACGCTATGCAGAGGAATAACCAACCCTGGAATATCATCTGTATTGCAGGAGGACTGAGGGACCCCAAATAATGTTGCCATCATACCAGGTGCCACACAGACACAGATCAAAGGAGCAGCCACTCCCCAAAGAGAGTGCAATTTCCACACGATGGCAGAAGGAAATGGCGAGCTAGATTGGGTGTCTGGGCTCCAGGACTTCACCTGCAGCCAGGCAGGGTGGAGGAGCAGTCAAGACTGCGTCATTCTGCAAATGCAGGAGCCAAGCATGCTGGGTGTGCCCAACCAACACCCGTCTGCAACTGGGGCATCTAGAGCTTCACCTACAGCACTGGGGGCTGGGCACCTTGGCACTGAACCCGTAGGATGGCACCTGGGCATGGGGCACTGATGTTGTGGAGCTGTGCAGCAGCTTAAGAACAAGGCCTACAGCACAGGATGAATTGGAGCCAGGGGGATTAAGGGACTTGCCCAAGGGCACAGTGAGTCAGTGGCAAAGCCGTGCGCCAGGCTGAGGAGGAGCCTGACTGTACTCGGCTGAGTCCATGCTGTATTCCCTCCTGTGTGTAACCTGCACGTGGCAATGTGGCCTGACAAGCGAGCATCATGCCTCTGGAGGAGGAGGAACCTACTTTCCCGTCCTGCCTTCCCAGAGCTTGATGGACTTGTCAAAGGAAGCGCTAGCTATGACCCGTGTGTCTGGCGAGAAGAGGACTTGGTTGATCAAGGCCTGGTGGCCTGTCATTCTCTCCAGCGGCTTCTTGTCCTCTGCTGGGCTCCACAGAAACAGCGTGAAGTCATCCGATCCCGAGACCAACCTCTCTGGTACCTGACCCTGCAGCAAGCAAACGAAATGCCTCAGCGCCACGCCGTGGTACAGAGGCTGTCCCCTCAGAGCATGGAGCTCACCCGACCCTGGGGGGAAAAGCAAGCAGGAAGGAGCCAGCCCCAGCCTGTTCTTTCTGTGCTGGTTGGTACCAACATTACAGAGCACGGCACAGGGCGGTTTTCCTGCTGCAGACTTACCCTGACTTGGTCATACCTGGCCTGTGCCTTCTGTTTCAGCTCCATCACTGTGAGCATGAGCAGAGAAGGGGAATTAGACACCGGATGGCAAACAGGAGCACAACAGAGCTGGGCTTTCTGGCTGTATGGATGGAGCTTACTCCCTCAGGGTGTTACCCAGGAAGGATGCCAAAGGGGACAAATCTGGGGGCACAAACTCGCCTCCTCTCAGACCTCCAACATGGATCTTAAGAGGAGGTTGCACTTTTCGCATTAGAGCACAGCATGTGTGCAGGACTCCAGTTCTGCAGAGCATGAGGCTCTCAGAGAAGGGAAAGCCACTACTAATGATTTCACAGAGAAGCAGGGGACCACTCAGGTGGACTTTGGGCACTGGGAGCCATGTGGAAAATGCCCTGGCCCCCCCCCGAGCCTGCCACCAGGCAAATGCGCTTACAGGAGCCGTTCATATCCTGTGGGTTAACGGAGGCCTGGGCAGGCTCAAAGGCGCCTGTGCGGAGGACGTAGTCGGTGCTCAGAGCCATGGTGTTCACCCAGTGCGCGTGGCCCTGCAAGGTGCGGCACAGCACCCCCTGAAAGCAAAGTGATCCCACGGACTCAGAGGGGGATGAATGCAGAAGCTCCCTGCCCCCTCCTCCATCAGCCCTGGCAGAGCCTCATCAGGCCACGAAACCTCCAGGCCCACCACGATCCCCCCATACCTCAGCTTCTCCAACCCTCCCACGCCATTGTGAAGCAATCCACGCAGCTCCTCAGCCCGGCCAGACAGGGCACTGCTGAGCCATAGGACCCAGGCACCATCTCTGTCCAGACACCACCGACCGTGACCCCTGGCATCTACAGCCTGCTCAGCACACTTACATCCTGGCCTCTCCAGACCTTGATGGTTCTGTCCTGCGAAGAGGAGTAGAGCAGCCCGTCTCCGCCCCACTTCACGCATGTGACCGACTGCGTGTGCCCGGTGAGGATCTTGTCACACCGGCCCCCGAGGGTGTCCCAGATCCGGACGCTGCCGTCCTTGGAGGCGCTGGCCAGGTAGCGGCACTCTGGATTTCTGGGGAGGGGAGGAGACAAAGCACAGTGCTGGAGGGCTCCCCGCACGGGCCTGAGAGGGCTCTCTAAGGACGCGAGATCTTCAGCTGAGGAGAAGGCGGCTGGGTGATGCTCAGACAGGAGGCCCAGAGAGCAACTTCTTTCGGGGAGCTCCCAGTCAGTTTGTTGCCTGTGCCCTTCCTAGATGTTAGCAGCAGCCTCTCTGGTGAGGCGTAAGCTCCCAGCAGCTCCACCCAGCTGGGCTTTGGGCACCACTGCAAGCCCTCCTGCCTGCTGACACAGAAATGCCAACCTCCCACTGCTTCCCACATTAGCTGAGCACGGGACTTCTCACTTCCTTTCTTAAGCAGCGGGCAGTCATTACATGTCAGTTTGTGGGGTAATGTGTTCTGGGCACATGTCGCAGGATGCTCTGCTAATACCTCTGCCCAGTCAGGCTCCAGGAGCACAAGGCACTCAAGGCTCCGCTTGGGGAGTAGGCCCATGCACCTCGCAAGCCAGACGTATGGACAGTCTTGGGCTCTGTTCCAAGCACCCCCCAGAAAAGCCCAGCCCAGTGGCCATCGAGTTGGGAGGGCAAACCCAACAGGAGTTCAGCAACACATTACAAAGCTAAAGGAGCCACGAGCAATTTGCAAAGGGCACTGGGCAGGGAGCCAGGATCAAGTCTGTCCCCCCACGGTAACGTACAAGTGCCAAGCGCCAGGGCAGACTTTGGGCTGGGCAAGGAAGGACTCCTGTGTGCCTGAGGTGCACTAATGGGACTTGGCCAAGCCCTGCAGCACTGCTGCGCCTTGAGCAGCACAAACCATTGCTCTTCTTAAGGAGAGTAATATCCTGGGGCCAAGGGTCAGGCAGGCACACTGGAGGAATAGGCAGAAGGGGGCATGGCCAGAGAGGGAGAGACAGAGGGAGAGAGACTGGGCTCCTAAGAGTACAGTTTGAACCAGATGGTGGGCGAGCAGCTGGCATCGCAGGGCCCACCTGGGAGGTACAGCCTGCAACCTGGCTGCAGCTCACTTGGATCAGGAAGCGGAAGAGCAAAGCCTGAAACCAAGGGCTGGGCCCTTCCACAGCGACAGGAGCAGAGCAGGGACAAGCCCAGGCGGCTGCAGACCAGAGAGCCTGAGGGAACCATTTCCTCTCTTCCTGCCCACCCCCCACATGAGTTCCCTTTAATCCAGTTAGTTGTTAGCTGAAGCTTCCCCTGGGATTTCTGCTGACAGGGCTCTGCTCCAGGGCATTTCTGTCATGCCTTGGACCATCATCTGCACCAGATCCACATATAAAGAACTGCATGATAGATGAACCGGATGGCTGAGGCAGCTGGGGGAGCAGAAGGGCCCCAAGGGAGCTCTCAGCACTGGCAGGACCACATCAGCATGCAGACAATAGTCTTCCCCCTCCCCTTCCCTACCCTGCGCTGGGGTTGGGCACACCTGGATTGAGGAGCAACTCGGGGAGACAAGCCCAGCCTCAGCCCTCCAAACCCCTTCATGTGGGAAAGCTGCGACAGGGAGGGAGGAAGGCCCGAGTTCAAATCCCTGCTCCCCGCCTTTGTAAAGATGCTTGCCGCTCCCAGCTGGTAATCGGAG